GCATAATCTCTCAAACCTCCAAATAAATTTCGAATTTTTTTCCAGTAAAACTTTCTATTTTATCTGTTGTTTTCTCTACCCTAACTTTATACAAGGTTGGTCAACGTCACTAAACTTTTAACTACCAAAAAAAATATTGAAATAAATCTAAATTACCCCATTTATTATTATATAAATAACTAAAATGTAAAATTACAAATTTTTTATGTTAGTTAAGGTTATATTAGGTGAAATAAATAATAAAATTATAATATAACAAACACTTTTCTTGAGGTATGTTTGTCAAGTGATTTACAACTTATATTGGCATGATTAGTAGTTAGACAGAGTTCAAAGGGCAATAAAATAATAACATTTAAGTATAAATAGATGTATACTGTTATGAGTGTAAAGCTATTTAGGATAAACAAATGTAGTTTCATGTTACAGTTTGAATTCATTCTAGAAAGAAAGAAAAAACCCCCCTCTTGCCACACCCATATATCACATCCTCTCTTTCAAAAATTGCCAATAGTTCTCTCTGATGTTCAATACTATATTATTTATAATCAATAGAAAGCCAAGTTTTCCTCTATCAAATGATGTATTATATTATGTTACTCTCTGTAAAGAAAATTGTCAGTTACACTTGCAGTTCAAGCTTGATTCCCATGGGTAACATATCGATGAGCTTAAATGAAGTTTTAACAGCTCTTTTGGCATAGTTAGAAAGCCAGAAAAATTATGACCATTATAGGACATTGTCTGCTTTTTGTACATTATTATTCTGTGTTCTTTGGTGCATTATTTAATTGAATAAAAATCATTTAGTGTGCAGTACTATCATTAATATAAAAAAAAAGTAAGGTTAAGTGACATCGATAGTCGACAGCAAAAAAAACTGAAGACCCAAGTAAGCACTTTTTTCTTGTTTTTCATGTGTATTCTTTTCTGATTATCTATTTCATGGCTCTTTAACCAAATATGCTTTGATTGAGCAATGACGATATTATAATGAGTAATTTACAATAAATTTCCTATTTACTGGAGGTGTGGTAAATAAATTGGAGAAGAGGAGATGCCTAGAGTGTAAATGTCACTATTCTCACACTATGGGAAATTCTAGGTTTTTTCTTTAATATTGCCTTATAAAAAGTAAGAACTTAAGACTTGTATACTATTAAAATGTGGATTATTAGCTACATTTTTACTCTACACATATTAGCATACCATGAAAAAATGTAGTTTAATCAAATTTTGAATGTAACTCACTAAAACTTCATGATATGCACAGAAAAAGATGTCCATGTTGAAAGGGTTTAGGTTATATTTTAGCTCCATATGCAATATTATAATAACATTGTGTTTTTTTCAACACCTAACACAAGCTAACTGTTTAAATGATCATTAAATTAAATTAAACATCAAATGAAACACTGGTAAAACTGTGCAACAAATAACAAAAGTCTGCAAGTATTAATATCCTTTTTGGATTATAGCATTTAAAATTCTAAAGGATTTTTTATATCTAATTCTACATTTTTCTTTGACCTATATCATTTTTGTAGTAATCACACTTGTGTCCTACATTATAAGACAGGAGAGTTCTAATGCCAAATTAAAACATTATCTAATCTTGTTGTATTATATTCAACAGAAAGTGAGAAAATACAAAATTTTCCTAACAAAGAGATACAATTTATAATTCTGAAGAAAAAAACAAAAAACAACACCTACTGTAATTCCTCTCCCTGAAACAAGATGTCCGAAGATTTGTCACATATTCACCTTCTACTTGGGTTTCTATTCTTCTGATGCTTCCTTGATATTCACTTGCAAAATTTTCTTTTACATAAAATGGTACCTTTAAGTTATTTGTCTTCCTCTCATAGATATATTTCCTATGAAGAAAAAAAAAATCATTTCTTTCAAACAAAGCCACAAAAGTTTAGTGATTAATCTAACACTTCTTGAAAAGAAAAGTAAACAGGTTTCTAAATTCTAATTAAAATAACTTCCTAAATCAAAAAGTTTTAAATTCACAAAAAAGAGCCAATTAATGCTGAAAGATCATAATCATGTGTTCTAATCATTCATTAAAAATAGTTTGTATATATATTTCATTGTTCTTCTTAAAGTTATTTTTTCTAGATGATGCAAGAGACCATATACTTTAGCTGTTGTTTGTGTTTTAAAGATATCTTCATAGTAACAGAAGAATAACTAATTTCAAAATATTCAACAAGCTTTCTAGCAAAGACTTTTTATTGGACGTTTTTATATTTATTTCCGCATAATTATTACTCATGAACATATCACATAGGTATTGCAGTTTTTAAGGGCAGATATTTACAACACTATTAACTACTAGAAGTTTTGCATTTAATATGAAGTTATCAGAAGAAAAAAAAAGTTTAATGTGCAATCTATCACTATTAGTAGCCAATATTTTATTATCATACAAAGTGTCTTACATTTTTCAGGCTGGGCAAGGGAAACTTTCATTAGAACTAAACTTTGAATAACTCAAGAATATGTTTTGTTTTGAAAAAACAGGAATAAGAATCAAAAAATAATAAAAAGACCTAAGTACAAGAATACAAAAACTAACAGAAACACAAATTCAAACTAAAAAAGTAGGATAAACATAAAGAATCATGAAAGCAGACATATTGTATTAAGTCACTACAAACAATGTTTCTAATGAAGGTATATAACTCATAGAGAGCTTGAAATTACTATATTGTTTCTCAGTTTTATTTTTCAAATGGTTTAGTCCTTTGTAAAGTTGGGGAATTACCTAAAATGTATTTCCGATATATACTTACCTCTCTTCACACCTTCTCACCCTTCCCACTATCAGTGCACATTACTCCTGCTTCATCTAAGAATGAAGTTCATTTTGAGTGCAAGTGCTTATGGGGATCTACTGTGCATGGAGGATGTGTTGCCATTTTATTGATTGAGGGTGATTGTTGCATGATGATTACATCACACACTAGCACACTTCACATTAAGACATGTGTCTTATTTGGGAGATGACATGCACGAATTCTTAAAGATCCACAAGGAATAGCTACTGTATGCAGAGAGGTAAGGATATAGTTGTGGAAGTAATGACTAAAATAGTTTTTTCCTCCAAGTCTAATAGTGTTATGAAGCTCTACACAAATTCAATGTTGGTTTTTCTCATCTGTGATAAGTGTATTATTTAACTCTACAAAACATATATATCTGCTTTCCCATGTGCTTGATACCACCTGGTTAATATTTTATTAATATAGAACTTATAGGTGTATTCTAAATATCAGAAAAATGTGTTTAAGCATTATAATGTTAAACCAATAGATAAAAATTAATTTGAGAGTGTTTCAAAATACTCTGAGAAAATATTGTATACCAATGCATGAAAGTGCTAAAAAATTATACAGATCAGATTACAATAAATCAACAGTTGGTCTTACCTAACAATACAAAATATTCTTTATAAAATATAAGCATACTTATAATTAGAAATATTCAAAAATACTTAACAATACAAAATATTCTTTATAAGCCAACTTATAATTATAAAAATATTCAACAATACCCAACAATGCAAAATATTCTTTATAAGCATACTTATAATTATAAATATTCAAAAATAATTTACACATTATTATCAATAACATTTTAATAAAGAAACCAACTATAAAGAACAATTTAACTGGCTATTACAAAATGTAGAGTACATCAGATTACAACTTAGATCCATTCAGCTTAACAATACACAACACAAACTGTAAAGCATTCATATATTTGCAATATTGCACTTATAAAAACATAAAATGGTGAATGATAGTTATGGAACTTATAAAATTCATTAACAATGTAAATTACTATACCAATGTGGAGAATTCTCTTATGAACTTCTCCCACCTTTTCTCTTAGTTCCAAGATATTTTGAGCTCCATACAGAGCTGAAGATCAAGTGTGGCAAATAGATCCTGATAAGTTCTCTCAGAACCAAAAAAAAATACAAGTTCTGAAAGAACTCAATCCACGTGTTGAATACAGCATCTACAGCTATCTTAAAAATTGTACAATGTCTGTTATTGGCTTCTTAAATGTTACATCAATATAAGCAAATCTCTACACAATTGTCCCAAATATCCCATAATCAATGATTTACATTAATATACCAAATTATGTGACTGTGGAATTAAGTACCTTTCACATTTTTCTTTCATTTTCTATAACCTATACCAGTGTTTTTCAAACCTTTTAGGTTGTGCCTCCCCTCTTTCTTCTCTGTAATACACCTTGTCCCCCCAAAAAAAAACATTCAACTCATATAAATTGTGATTTAAATTGTCATTACAGCCAATGATGACAATAATAAGCTTAGTTTAAAAAAACAACAACAAAATATGAGACATTTTCCTGATACTTCTCATGCCCCCCCCCCCACAAATATGGTCATGCCTCTCCATAATTTGAGAACTACTGAACTATACCATTACTTCAAATAAACTATTATTAAAAGGACTCACGATGATCGAACAAGGCTGTAAGCAGGCTCAGAAACAAAAAAACTGCTCATGAGAGACAGGCACACTAGGATTAAAATGGGCATCATCTGAAGTAGCACACTGTGACCACTTTGCTATACAGAAAGAAAGATATTCATTATTTCAAAATTCTTGAAGATAATAATAGCTATTGAAAAATAATACAGCAAAAAAATCAAGCACAATCGGGAATAAGAAAAAAAATTCTAAAAGCCACTTTCTAGCAATTGATCTCTTCATAAATTCCACCATCTTTGATAATTACATCATACACTAGCGCAGTTCACATTAAAACACGTTAGAGGTGGGAAATAGCTCAAGGCTATTGGCATGCACAAACCCTTAAATGCATTGATATAAATTGATATTTAAATTTCTAAGAATATTGTTTTGGAAGTAATGACTAAAATTGAGGCTTTGTCCAAGTCTAATATTCTTCTAAGGCTCTGAAGAAATTCAGTGTTAGTTTTTTCAGCTGTGATAAACAGTTAGTTACTGTTGCTACACCAGTCAAAATATTGAGAAAATGATGGATAGCAATACTACAAATATGATATTGATAAGTGAAACTTTTAAGAAAAGTGTGCTTTAATATCTAGAGCATAACCATGATAAATAAGTATACACAAAAATACATGTAAAGATCATCATTGTGGTATGCATGTAGTATTATTAGGCAAAAGAGGAAGTAAAAAGTTATAAAACAGACCTAAAATCTGAGTCAAACAGAACAACAAAGCTCAACTATGTAAAGTAAGTGCAAGGTAAATACTATAAACAAAATACCATATGTTCAGTTTTATCTAAGTAATCTTTTAAGTGTTACAAAACATATAAGTAATGTAGTACAGTAAAACTTATTTCAATTAAATAATTTTTATTCTTCCATTTGCAAAAAAACAAACAAAAACATCTACAAGATTGTATCATAAATATTAAAACAAAAATAATGATAAAACCAAACAGTATAATTTTTTTTTTGATAAAAGTATTATGTGTAGCACACAGAGAAAATAATTGTACTGCAAAGAACAAAGACAGTGCTATGAAGCCTAAAAAAAAATACTATATGTAGACTGAAGCAAACATCATAGTATGACATGTGGAACAAAACATAATATTCAACAGTTGAAGTGTTAATGAATAAAACACAAAAAAATGAATAATGTGCAATCAGACAAGATTTGAGTGTAATTAAAATTGATGAGAAACAGTAGAACGATGGCAACAGCAACAAACATTTGACACGTGTGTATACGGTAACAAACATTTAATTCTTGAATGTTTTGGAATATACATATTCCATCTTATGCAAGCTATACTGAACAAGGTAAAATATTAGGTACAAAATTTATAGAGTTCAAACATTTTGTAAAAAGTAATTAATATACAGAATAAAAGGATAAAGTCAATTAAAAAACAAAGAAGTAAACAAGAAAGAACAGGAAAGTGCAACAATTGCAACAATATTATACAAATTATTCAAAACAGACTTAATTGTAGGGAAGCTGTGTAATTATTTAAAGTTAGGAGTTCTTTTATAATAGATAAACTTTCTTTAATTAAAAGTTCAGTATTAGATGATCCAGATGAGATGACTTTGAAATCCTTAAGATGGGATGATTGTTGTTTTCACTGCGTGTGTGTTAAATGCAGAGTTTGAAGGATTTTATAGTTTCTCATCAGTTCTGTTTGATACTCCCATATGTTCGCAGATGTAATTGGCGTATAGTTTTGCCAATGTAAATGGCATTACCTCCACCATATGTGTATTCATACACGATCCTGGAATGCTTGGGGGGTAGGTAAGAGGTCTTTAGATCTAAACAGATTTTGTATCTTGAAAGTGATTTAAATATCATTTGTAGTTTAACTTGTGGTTAAAAAGTTTCAATTATTCTTAAAACTTGTGACTTGACTATGAAACTTTGTTCACCTAAACAATTAACAATCAGTCTTAATGGGTATTTGTCTACAGTGTATGGTTTCTTTGGGGGTTCAATTTTGTGAGGAAGGAACTTGAATATTAGGACTTAAATAAAATGCAAGGGATAGTTGTTGTTTATTAGAACATTCTGTAAGGTGGTGATTTCGGTATGTAGAGAGAGGTAGTTAGAACAGATGTTATATGCTCTATTGAGAAGACTGAGTATAAGGTTTCATTTAAAGGAGTTCTGAATAAAACTGTTGAAGCTTGCATGTAATCCTGTTTATGTTTGCTTGCGATAAACTGATGTTGTGAAATGGTTATCTAATCTGCTGATTTGGATATCAAGATAGGTCAATTTACCATTTTTTTCAGTTTCACAAGTAAAATTAACATTAGGGTGTTTCAAATTTAAATCATCCAAGAACTGTTTAATGTGATTAGTGCTTCATCAACCTTCTATATATATATATATGAGATTTTGTATACTAAGACCATAAACACACTGAAAAGGTCATGTTATTTCTGTAACTTTTTATTTTTATGTTTAGATTATTATTACAGCTACTTGTTGTTCTTAACAACAGCTTCAAGTAGTTAAATAAAAATCCTATACTTATACTTTGTAACCTCTCACTTACATCATTGTGAGTTTCATTTTGTTGTCTATTACTGTGCCAGCGATTTCCTCGGCGAACATATACACCACCTAAAAGGAAAGAAAAAATGTTCAGTGATTCATTCAATTAATATATCATTCTATAAACTTACATTTTCTCTAAACAGCTCCATTCTTTGAGGTAAGTACAAATTTAGTAAACACTTACAAAACGTTTTTTATAATATATATAAGGTAATGGGTAAATCTTGGATGTTTTTATGTGCCATTTTTAAAATTACGTAAAACCTCAATAAAGTCATGCAAATTCTTTGTCGGATTTTAATTTTTTCTGTCACTTTTAGGGAATTTACAGTATGTATTATATAAAAAACATTTCAAAGATCAAAATTAATCACATAATTAAGGTTGGTTACATTTACACTTCTAGATGTTCTATACTGAATTTTCTTAAACAGAGATTGACAACCCTGATTTAGAATATGTTTTGATCCACAATAAACTGATACAGTATTCCTTTTTTCACTTAAAGACTTTGGTTATTTCAGAAATTAAAGATTTCCATACTTCACTTTGGTTATAATAATGTTCAATACTTTTGAAAAGAAATCCGTTTGATTTAGGATGTGATAAATTACAAAGTTTATGTAAACCTCGTTTTTTAGACTGATACAATCCTTATTCAGAGACTATGATGTATAAAAGAAATGTTTAAGTGACTGAAGTTCAAATTAGATGCTTGAGCAATAATAGTATTGTACACATGTGCAATGATGCTGAAAGAGAAACTGCATACTTACACCTGGCCTTAAAGACACCAAAATGAATATATTATCTTTAAATTATTATTAAATGAAAACCAAGGGTCTGCAGCATTGTAAGTTGCTTTTCATGACTTTAATCTACTATTAGCAATCATGTAACATGTTACAAGAGTTGCTAAAATTCTACAATAACAATTAATAATAAATAGTCTTAATTATGTGTAGCAAGCAAAGAATGCTTTTATGACCACTCTTACTTAGGTCATCAGTTAGGTACCCTTGCTGTTCGTGGTGTTCTTCAACCCAAGGATACCTGACAAGGTTGGGCCTGTTTAGTAGAATTACTAAACACTAAAGCAGATTTGTCACATTTACAGTTTCATGTACCATATCGATCACCATTTTGCCAATGTACTTACTACTATATAACAAATGTAATATCATATTTATTTAATTCTATAAACAACTAAAATACATAGGGAATTAATTCAATTTCATACTGTAACTTACTGTAAATTACACATACGTATGAAGTTACAGTTGGAGGTTAGAGCCATACAGAACAATAGCACAGTCTATGTGCACATAACCTCTCATATTTTAATTCACATTGGCTTATTAAGGTGACGTGCTAATGTAAGCCTACTTAACAGCCAGGCTTAATTTGGTTAATGCAGCAATTGATCAAGTTAGTAGATGAGAGAAAAAAAAGAGTAGTCTACTTGAAAACATCTCTGAAATACGAGTCTTAAGATATAAAACATGCTTATAATATTTTCTAAATAATTAAATATATTTACCTGAAGGATATCCTCCCCCAAAAAATATATTGAATAGCTCTTCAGCAGACATGTCAGCTGCAATGTAATAAACAGTAAACTTCCAATTAATCAATGACTTCAATCAAAAAATCATCTTAAATATTCCAAAATTTACAAGTCAAAAAAGGGGAAATTGTTAGTGTTTAACCATTTGCTAAATCTATTATGTATTTTAATATAAAAAAAATTACCTAAGTAGAATTATAAAATAAAATTGGTATTGGGAGGAAGTAAAAACTCCAAACATAATGTGAAATACATTAAAACTGAAAAATTACTTTAACTCTCCTTGATTACTAAATTTCTCCAGCTTGAATGGTGCATATTTGCTTGTTAACTATGTTTAGATAAATAAACATTAAATGAGTATTCTACACTACAAAAACACATATACATACACATATAATATTTGAAGTAAACAGTATTAGAAATGATTATAGAAATGGTGAGGGAAAAAAAAAGGAATGAAAAGCAAATACAAGAAGAATGCCATCCCTTTATAAGAAACAAACTGCAACACAGTACACTTATGTGTTAACAGTTTATGCTGTGCGATTGGTTGTCATCTAACCAAAGCCACACCAGCAGTCATACTATGCCCAGAAGCAGCAGGTTGTTCCAGTCATGGTTGCCAAGATTGAAATACCACAAAATAAGCATGTAAAAATTAGTTTAGTTAGTCAAGGATACTCTATACAAAAATTGTGGCAAGACTTAAAAGTTCTGTAGGAGCTGTTTGAAAGACTCTGACTACTGTACATGAAATTGGTACTGTTAATAATAAAAGTTGTCAAAGTAGAAAACTAAAACTCTTCAAAAGTGATGCTATGTATTCCAGGGTATGTTCTTTAGGAGATTTTGTTGAAGACCTTATTATAAATATGTGTGAACATTACTTTAAAAACAGTATTATACATATCAGCATTATATGGTCTCGATGGACATGCAGCTACTTAAAAAACATTGCTTAAATGAGGTAACTAAACCAAAGGGTTGAATGGCATCAGACAGTAGAATAACCAAAGCTGGAGACATATGTTTTTTAAAAATAAATCTAGATTTGAATTATTTTACATTAGTCAGTGACAGTTTCTTTAACAATGGAGAGAAGAACAGTATCATAGCCACTAAACTTTTTAAATCTGTTGCATGTGCACTGATATACAGAGTGATAGAAAAGTCACATACCACCATAATATTTCTGCCCTTATTATGATATACTAAAATGAAGATTTACTTGCCTTTTTTTTGATACAATAACTGGATTATATATCATGGTATCAACAATGCACATTTTGAATACCTTTAAAAGCAGGACTTAAACAAAATCATGGTGGTTTGTGACTTTTTGCATCACTTGTATAAAAATGATTTTACTTCAGAGAGCATTAAACTTCATCAGCTATATATGGTGTAGCAATTTACCTTCAAATCCTCGACTGTATTCATAATATCCATCTTGAAAAGTACGGCTTTGTTGTCTTCTTGCTTGAGCCTCTTCAGAACCATAAAGATCATATTGCTTTCTTTTTTCAGTATCACTTAATACAGCAAAAGCATTTCCAATAGCTGAAAAAACAAAACTATACGTTAACAATGTGATCTGCACATTGAAGTTTCAGTTTTGAAGCTACCTTTTTTATAATTACAAACTGATTTTGCAAGTTGACGTGAATGTGTACAGGGTCAGCCCATTGGACCAACCCCTTACTTAATTGCATCTATATGAAAAGTGGCAAGTTTTAAATGAAATGTATAAATACGTTTTACACCAAAATTCAGATGTGTTACAAAAGTATTTGTACTGACGATACGCTGGAAATTGATAACATCAGTCTGGCTTAGACTCTGATAAGTTGGAGTTCAAAGTAATGTTCATGTGAACAATAAAAGTACTTTTGTCCATTATACAATTTTCATATTGCACTTGAATAACCTCTAGACTCTCCAAAATGTATATCTATAGTTTTTTTCAGTATTCCTGTATAATGTATTTAGTATTTACTCTCCTCTACCATAGATTGTTGCTAAGTCAACAATGTAGAGTAAAATGAATAATTGATAACTCTGACATCACATGCGTAACACCATGTTCATTGGCACTCTGGAAAAAGTTGTGGCATGTGCATTTTGATTTTCTCCAGTGCATAAAAGGTTAAACTATAGTATGATTTTTTTTTAAGCTGTAGTGTATAGATTATTTTCATTACCAATTTAGTGTTTGTAATAGTTTAGAATTAATATTTTACATACATAGAAGTTAACAGTCACCATACGATGAAATCTGCTGTGACTTAAAGGACACAGCTGCACTTTCTAATTGTTTGTGTAAAGATTAGAGCTAGTCTATCTCGAGCATTAACTATAGCTATTCTAGGGCAAATTATTTAATATTGTGTTCTTAATCATGGTTTGCAGTAATACTGGTGGTACCAGGAAAATGTTTTTTTACATCAAACCAAATTGTCAATTATCTGCAAGTCCATGTGATATGACGACTATAGCAATGAATCAGTTGAAATCAAGACTTTCTATTGGTTATAAATTTAATGGGAGTCAGCCTCAGAAAAATCTATTTGCAAATTGTAAATTAGAGCATGTCAGATTTTGGCATGGAAAGTGGTTTCTGAATATTCATTAATTGCTCTTTAACCACGAAAAATTAAAGAATATAAAAATATAGCTTCAGAATATCGATGACAAAATTATAGAGTATATTTTACGTTACATTTCATAGTAAAGAGGAGACGGCTCAAGAACAAATATCCAAATTCTCACACTAGGGGAATTAGAGGTTGTTTTTAAATATTTCCTTATAGAATTAAGAACTTAAAACTTATATGATATTAAAATCTGATTTATTATCTGTGGTTTGATGTCAAGTTTGTTCATATACCATAATAATTAAGTAGTTTAATTAAATTTAGAATTAACTCACCAAAATGTGACATGCACAGTTTCACCTGCCAGCATGTTAAAGGTTAATCATGCACACACATACTTAATGTGCAAACAGTCACGTATGCACATTCACATTCTCTTCCAGAGCATGGGAATCATCAGTTTCCTATATTTCATGCTATTGCCGATTTTCACGGTGAGATTCACTTATCGACTGAACTCAAAACTACCACATCAAACATTTATAATTCTGTGAAAAGTGAAGTTGAAATACCAGAGGAGGCATTCTGTCAAAACTCCAAAGATGTGACATATAATAACAGATATTATTCTCTACATATGATATATTATAAACCAGTACCACCTGTACTGATGGCCTGGTATCGGTACCGACTTTAAACCCTGTTCTCAATACTTATGAAACTATGCAGCCTGAAAACTTTTGGTTAACTTATTTCTTTAAAAAGGTGAAATTTTATTTATGCTTTAATAGTGACATTCTTTACAGTAAAGTTAGTTATGCTTTTAATGTATCATTAAGCTATTACCCCTATCATTACAGGCTTGATCAATGCCCATTCGAGCAAGTTTGTAACCTCAAAGTGATTACAGTTTCCATACTATAACATTTAAAATATTTTGTGTATCTTCACAAAATTTGGCAAGCCTTCAGTAAGCATTAAAAGTCTTTTATACATAAAAAATTAATTATTTAAATAAGTATTTTGACTAAAAATTTGTCCATGAATAAATGGAGTCAAAGTTTTGACTGCTCTGAATGCAAAGTGATTTTCATGTTAAAATTAAAAATACTTTTCTTCACCTGAAAATTGTCAAATTTAAAACCTCTTAAATAAATATTAAACTTTTTTCAGTAAAACTCTGTTATTTTCTCTATCCTAACTCCATATGCATTCAGTCAATTTGACCAATCTTGCAACCACCATATAAAAATACAAAATAACCCCTTTTTTTCTTTCTAGAGCAAATACAAGTTGTATACAACAGTATACATCTGTTTGAACTTAAATTTTATGGCCCTTTAACCAAAGTTGTAAGTCACTTGGCAAATGTGTAGCTCAAATTAATGTATTGAATTATGTAATGCACAAGCTGCTCGCAAGCGATCTTGTGAAGAGTTTTATTTTTATTATCATACGTAATCTAACTTCATAAGTTTAATTCTTACATTTTAGTTATTTTTATAACAATAAATAAAGAATATACACAAAAAACAAGAAATATGGTCCTCTTTTTTTTTTTTTGCTGTCAGCTGTCAATGAAAGTTAAGCCTACTTGTTTTATACTAATGGTACTAGTACACTATTGACTAAATAATTTTTACTTTATTAAATAATGTACTTAAGAACACAGAATAATAACAAGCACAAAGCAAACAATTTATATAACTAGTATAATTTATTTGCCTTTATAACTATGTGATAAGATCCTTCCAAAATTTATCTAACCTCATTGATGCTAGTACTGCACAAAAGAAGTTTTCAAACTGGAAGTGAAAAAGACAACACTATGTACAGAAAATAATATAGTATATTATTTGATAGATTAAAACTTTGACTTTCCATTGGTTATAAATAATAATAAAATGCCAGAGAACTATTGGCAGATGGTGAAAGAGAAAGGATGTGACAGGTGAAAGTGGGTCTGATTTTCTAGTTCATGGCTCTGTAAAAAAATAAAATTGAAGGCTATAAGCCTACCCGAATGTGATCAAAGACGACATATTAAAACGGGGAAGACTCAAGAAGTGACTGAGGTAGGACTGATCAATCCAGAACCCCAATCAGCATCGAGCAAACAAGACAAATGAAGAAAACCGGTGGGTAAGACAGGTAAAGGGTAAGCAGGTGCCGAACATATAAAATGAATGAAGATGATAATATCTCAGAATGAAACAAAAAAGCAAATAAAAAATTTAATATGGCATCACAGATACCCCATATAATGCTAAATGTACAGCAGTAGCCCAAAAAAACAAAAAACAGACTGGTGGGGAAAAAGAAGTGATCATAAGACCCTATTAGCAGTGGATGGTAAACAAACAGCAGTGTCCCACCCTAGAAGATCCTAAAAGCAAAGAAGCCACATGTTGAGGGAACGAACTGAAGATGACAAACACCTCAATATGGAGGGAAGGAGGAGGAGGTATCCCATGAAAATCCCTAAATATAAATGGAACACCAAAGAAAGGAAATGAAAAATAAACATGAACCGTAGGAGTGTCGATAGGGTAAAAACGAAGCTAAAAAAACAAGGTCATCTGAATACGAGTTAAGCTGTTACTCAATGAAACTTAACAAAATTTGGTAACCTTTTAGTAATGATTACAAGTATGTTGCACACAAAAAATCATGTTTTAATAAACTATTTCTACTAAAAACTTCTCTGTGATTTACTTTAGTCAAACTCTGATTAATCTGAGTGCAGGGTGATTTTCACACTCAGAATAATAATTCTTTTTTTGATCTTAGTTTACATATTTCATTTGCATAACCTCTAGAACCTCCTAAATGAATATCAAGGTTCTTCTGTAAAACTTTATACTTTATTCCTTATTTTCTGAATCAAAATTTGAAAAATATGAAATAAAATCAAGAGTTCATTTTTATTCTAGAATGACTGCAGATTGTCACAGACAATTATAACTACCTATCCTAAAACTCTAGGCCTCTAATGTCTTTGCAAATGTTTTCATTTCATTTTATTGTTCTTTAAACTGTATATAACTATTAAACAAAGTAACAAATAATGTCACAATGGTGTACAAAACTTTAATTGAAAAAAAAAGCTAACTATAAAAAATATCACCTACTTATGCTTTAAAAAATATTACAAATAATAAAAATTTATTAAAAATAAAAACATTACCTTTAAATGCTTCAGCTGCTCCTGGAGTTTTATTTTTGTCAGGATGGAATTGGAGTGCCAGTTTTCTGTACTGTTTTTTTAAATCTGATTCACCAGCCTCTTTTGTCACTCCCAAGATTTCATAATAGTTTTTACATTGCTTAATCCTTGTGAAAAACAAAAAGAAAGAAAATAACACATAACTCCTTGGGTAATATGAACTTCAACTACTATTATTATCATTATTCTAAATATTCACAGTATATTTACTATCCCTTTTGAATTGTCAAAATCAATTACAATAGGACCAACTTCCAAGTCCTGTTAGATTTTAAAAGAATTCATAAGAACTTGCATAAATGTTTTTGTTTAAAGAACATTAGATTTTATATTACTTTCAATAATAAATGATTCACTTTTTGACTATAATTTCCTAAATTACCATAGCTAGATAAACCAATTTCTAAAAACTAATAATGAAAAAGAACACAAAAAACTGGATACTGTATTCCATAGGAGCAAAGTCATTAAAAATATTTTTTCCCAACCATACCTAAAATGGAGAAAATAGTTTTCAAAATGAAAATTATAAATAGCAAAATAAACAAGTTAAACCTAAAATAACTACAGAAAAAAAATGTTATATAAAAATTAATGCCAATTGTTATTAACTGCACAAAAACTCAAGCGTGCAAAAAGCTCCCAAATCCGGGAAGAATATTACAAAAAGATTAAATAATTCAAAGTCTAATTATGCAGACACAAAAATTTAAAACCATCAAGATCTGATTTTAAATATTATTTTGACTACATAGTAATTATCATCTAACAATGCTTCTGACATTCTTAACTATTTAATTAAGTAGGATCCAATCTAATGCTCAAATGGGTCATTTTTCATCAAAATAATAACCTGGACACAGTATAAACTTCACAAGATGCTGGAAGTTGTCATTTTAGTATAGCTCATTTGTTGAAGAGCACAGTTTGTAGGTAGTTTGAAGGTATTATCCCAGTGAATGCAACTTTAGTTCATCATAAAAATGTTCAGTTTATTATCTGGTGACTGTGTCCAAGAAAAATGACTGAAGTCACTCATGTTTTACAAACCAAGTTCAGCCAATATACAAGGTGGATCATTGTTTTATTGTCTTGGAAGAAACTTGTGTCTTCTTTTTATAACTGAGACAAGCAATTTTTGTCCTAGTTGTCAGCTGTCATAGGACTTTTTTTTTTATACTGTCTTTCACATAATATATTGGAACCAGTGAGACATATGACCATTTCACTTTACAAGCTGGTAACCCTAATCTATCTTAGTGGCAGTTGCCTTCCTTTTCAATAACCAGCCAACAAACTAATGAAAAATTACTTTAAAGAACTGATCAAAGAAGCAATCTCTGGATTTGATGCTCCTGCTGAAGGGAGGGGCATCCATTATCACACCACTTTAAAATCAGAAAACTTTGTTCTTAGTCATTGTCTTGCAGTCCAACCATTAATAAAACTACATTTTTGCTGAATAAGCCTACAGAATTACCTGATATATATAACATGAGCTGTCTATTTTTGTATATGCATATAAATGCTGAAATAGTTCAGCAGAGAAATAACCTTGAAAAGTTTCTAGACAGAAAAAAATCTGAGGCAGATTTAAAAATTTAGATACTTGATGTAACACTCCAGCAGAGAACTTACTGAGGGAGCTGGAAATTTAGCCAAAGGAGAGAGTGACTTAGAGACATTTTTATAACTTGCCTTTAGAATTTAATTATAAGCAAAACAAGCAATTTTTAGTTTAAATGATTTCTAACTCTGTGAAAGAAAACTATGAAAATTAAATCTTCTAAATGCAGCCAATACTTGATGATAAAAAAAATAGTTTATTCACTTTATAATTAGGCACACCATCAGGAAATTGGTCTATCTGTACAGCTGAGAGATTAGTGGTATTTGCTAATCAATTAATCAATAGCCCCATTAGTTGACTACTACAGTGTTCTTCAAACCATGGTACTTACAAACAAAAAGTTAATAATGGTTGCTGCTGGCCAGTTGACTTCCCTCTAATCAACAATAGCAACCTAGGAAAAAAAAAATTTTTTTGCTGGAAGGCACTGCCATCCAGTTGCCCTCCATCTAGTCAGCAGTTCAAAATTAGTGACAGTGGCAGATAGCCTTAGTAGCTTTGCCATAACAGGGTCAAGGAGGTTTTGTGGCAATATTTTGGATACTTGGAATAATAAAAACTGTAAACCCTAATTTTAATTATTTTCTTGACAACCGATTTAATCATAATACTAATTAACCAATTGTTGGAATAATTGAAAACACTAATTTTAAGTAATTGATTAGTTCATGTGATACTAATAGATGTAATCACTGCTTACAGGTAATTAGTCATATTTATTAATCAATTACATTGCCCAGCTCTATCTATAAATGTTCAAATTCACATTGAAGATATCAATCAACTCTGCAAACAGTTTAGTAGACACAGCTTGTTTACCACCTGATCAGTAAAATCAATCTTGAATAATGCCAGTACACAAATTAGGTTCTTAACTCTTAATTTACACTTAAAATGACAACTTCCATCTTATAGATTATAATACAATCACTGGTAAAATCAAGTGGGAAATGGATGTAGCAATGCAAGACAGTTACCTAGCACTAAACAGAACACAAAAAAATTCAAAACAGAAACATAAAATTTGACTTAAAATGCCAACCTTTGTACAGCTTCAACTTGCTCCTGTGTGTACTCTATCTTCATTCTTTCTTTATGTTCTTCTGATGTTCTAGAACCTGATGTTTTGCGTCTTCTGAAAGTAGGACTTCCATGTGTCTCTCCTTGGCAGTTTTTGTTGTTATTAGGACTCGTAGAATCATTTAGCTTTTTTAATAAATCTAGTATATCTGTAAAATAATTATTAATTTTTACTTCACTTTTCAACCTGTATAGCATGCAGGTAAATTTAATATTGCAATAATAGATTTAATTTTGGCAAAATTAAACCTACATACATACATATAAGTTATATCTCACAACTTTTTCTTATCTTATTAATTCAAAACAATACTAATAAAACAGATTGGTAATCCTGTCTATGTTAAGCTGAATTTTGGCTGAAGTCAGGAAGCATGCTACACAGAAAATTTTGAAAATCAAGACCTTTTGATAGACATCATTTTCAAAATTTTCTGGCCTTTATTCAAACAACAATATGAACAGAAATGACAGCATGAAAAGATAATAAATACATAGGAATATATACATTATTTATTTACATGTTTTCACAAGATTTATTTCAAACACCTTATTCTTCCCTTCACCACTCTAATGATATCTCTGAAGTAGGTGAAACTAGTCAGTAAATTGTAATTTTTTTTTAATTTGTGTTGTTATACATATTCTTTATATAGAGCATTAGTTTGTAGTGGTGTGTATACTCATTTATCATACTGAAAATTGGTGAGTTTACTGGCATCAAGCAAGCAACTGGTTAATATTCTGATGATGATTATTATTTGATTATAACAAGGAAACAAAATAACATAACCTTTATGATCTACTCAATGCAAAGGTATTTCAAGAAGCAGAAACAAAACTATACACTGCATTTGCAAAAGTTTTTGGCCACAAATCACAAAGTAATAGTAGAAAAATACAAAATCTTGATTTATATCCACAGTACACTCCTCTTTATACTGGCCAGAAATGACAATATTGCTTTTTCTAGTAAAAGATGATTGCTGTAATATTTTTCATGCCAAGAGCTTATAAATTAAATTGATTAATCGAAATTATAATTAAATCAATTAATGTCATGAAAATAATCAATTAATTAAAATTATGGTTTCTAATTATTCAAACTATCCTAGTAATTGAAATATTGCCTTTATAATTTCTCATGATTTTTTATTAATTCAACATTGTTCAGCTTAAATGATTAGTGTCAAAACTTATGAAAATAATCAACTAATAGAGATTAGTATTTCCAATTATTCTATTTTTGATTATCACAACTATCCAAGCCTGATGTGAGATAACTACATTAGTTGATATAATTAATTACTGAGCCTGAGAATTAACCATTCATCAGATTTCACTAATTGCCCAGCATTACAATCAGAAACACTTTTATGTTTACGTGAACTTGATTCTTAGGAGCATTCAGCAAATGTTAATTTCACACTCTGGAAATTATTATAGCTTACAAAATAATTAACATCCGTGTGTGATATTTCAGATCAGTAAATAGTGGCAAAGTAAGCACAACATACAAATAATATTAATGGTAGTATCAAAAGTTGCTAAACATGTTCAATAAAAATTACAACAAATAATAATTAATCTTAATTATTAGTAGTAAGCAAACCACAAAAGCCTCTTATGACCATTCTGCCTTAGGTCATCAGTTGGGTACCATCACTGTTAGATATGTTTTCAGCACACAGTAAATATCAAATAACTTTTTTGACTAAGATGTACTATAGATATTTCACTGTTTAACTGTTAGACTAATTTTGATTTACTTACCTCTTTGACAAATCATTTAAAACTTAGTGTATGACAATTTTGCTGTTTTTTTTAGGGAGAATGCACACTGCATATTGGTAAACTACTTTTATTGATAATAAACTTATAAGCTAAGAGACATTTGAATGAAATAAAGTGTGAAACTTAAAATAACTGTAGAAAAGAAATTTATAGTTAAGTAAGTTATTGAAGAAATGTTCTCTACCTATAGACTACAATTATTAAAGTAAAAGAGTGTGTTGTTAAATATTGCATAGAAACAAGATTAAATTTTCAAAGAAGTTCGAGGGATTCGTAAGATAGATTACCCAATTTCTACTTTTATTTTCAAACTGTATCAGTGTTAGTAATAGCAACATCAAACTAATTATCTAATCATAATTCCCACCAGTAACAGTAATACTAAAAACACAAAATTGGTTGTTCAGGAATTACACATAAAATTCACTAATTTACTGGTCCCATATCACTGGAATTTGGAAAAGCAAACACAGTGACATATTAAAATACTTGAATAATTCAAAACTTAAACATCATGATGATCAACTATAAACACTAATTTATAATAATACTAATAATATTGAAACAAACCTGGTAACAATAAAATCAATAACTAAACATGCACAGATTATTATTTTTTATATGTTATTTGATATTTGTTTGTACTTTTTTAGCTTAGTTTTATATATATATTTCAGAATTTGGATTGAAGTTTATGATATGCCTAAACTTAAGGCTAGTACTACTACTACTATTAGATATTAGTAATACTAATAGTTGTAGTACTAGTTCTACTTCTAGTAATACCAGTAGTTACACAGTAGCTAATTAGACGAAAGCTTAGCAAGGCCCTTACAACAATAAAAAAATATTAACAGCCTAATTAACACTCAAATTATGAAATTAAAAATCTCACCTTTAGCTCTATCGGTAGGATATAATTGTTCAGCTTTTTCTAAAAATTTCATAGCTTTCTCAGTATTTCCGTCATTGAGGTATTTCAACGCTAATTCAATGCACTTTTCACACTCATCTTTGTTTCCTTCCATGACAAATAGTAATAATAATAACAGAACTTCTATTTCATACAACTTTCAAGATCTAAATTGCCTAAAATTTAAAAATTTATTCAATTTACAAATATAACACGTACATAATCTTTAGCATACAATAGTAACTTCGGAAGTTACTATAAAAAGTAAAAGGATAATTTACTTATCTAGGCTACAGATCCTAGAGTGGCTAGATCGTGAATTATAGTTAGCTTTATTTTAAATTATAAAATAATGGAGTATTTGATATTACACTTTTAATTTAAAAAAAACTGTTTTGGGATCTTAAACATAATAATTATGTAAGTATTTAGCCCAAACTAAATTTAATCAATTTAAACCAATCCTAGGATACTCATCACGAGTAACATGACGTGTAAGTATATTTAGAACAGTCACGGAAATCGAATATAATTGCGTTATTTGTTTTTAATATGTAGAAATTATTCTTAAAAGAAACATTTAAAAATTATAGTGTATCAATTTAGGATAACATTCTATTTTATTGTGTTAATTCAGATCCAAAAAATAGTTTAGTGACGTCACACTTAATTACCTATTCACAAAACAGTAAAATAAACTAAGCCATTTATTTAAGCGAAATAGGTTAGGCTTAATGAGTTTATTCTGTCTAATATTTGTAATTTTAGAGTAGAGCGATTTATGAGGATTGTCTTTATTTTTACTCAAATAAAAGATAATGGTAAGTATTGTGATTTTATTTATTGAAAAAATTAATTAAATCATTAGTTTTTAGCGTTAATTGTAAATTTTACAATATTCGTACACATAACATTAAAATTTAAATATTCGTACTCTAGTGTATTTTCCGAGTTTTACTTGTAGTTTTACTAAATAATATTTAATTTACACAATAGGCTGGTGGCAAAGCTGGAAAAGATTCAGGAAAAGCCAAAGCTAAAGCTGTATCTCGTTCAGCAAGAGCAGGATTACAGGTATTCAGAATTCATCTACCTAGTTTAACAAAGTAATTACATCCAACGGTATTAAAATTTGTACTCAAAACATATTTATTAATAACATATGGTATATATATGTGAGTGCGTGTTTTCTGTTGACGGATAAAAATATTTGAATTATTTGTATCTTTCTATCAGCATCAGTGAATCATTTAGCATTAGCAATCCATAACTGGCAGAAGACAATTGGCGAGTGATTATATTTATCACTCAGAAGAACAATCAACTCAAGAACAAGTTCAAACAACACAGGTTCTTTAAGTTTAATTTATCTTATCACAAACGATCATTGAGTTTTATTTATTAAGACTTAATAAGAGTCAAAGACATAAAAATGAATCAGTACTCTTACAAGTTTATAACATTCCTACTAGTATTATAAATATTGCAAAAAAGGCATTTATTTAAGACTGACAGCGTGTTATTTCTTTTTTCCTAAAGTTTAAAGAAATATACGTGTGCATATTATTATTATTATTAGAGAAATAATCGGAATTTGTGAACAGAGATAGTTACATGTAACTGTGAAAAGTTCTACACCTAAAGAAGAGCAGAGTGACAAAAGACTACTTAACTCATTGAAGCCATTGTTTACTTGGGTCAAACTAAAATAACTTAAATGTAGACTATTGTGTTCATAAACACTTATCCAACAGAAATTTAAAATTTTTCAGATTATTTCTGCACATAACTTTATCAGGCAAGTAATTTAATCATTTTACAGGTTTATAATTTATAAGTAAAATAATTTTTTTGAAAAGATCTGTATCTGTGTGTCTGAAACTTAAATCTAATGTTCAAGTTAGCAATTACCTTATATTCTATCAATCAAACGGACTAACCATAAAATTACTATTTGAACTCATAACAATTTTGAACATTAAGCCACCTTTAGTTCTAATACACTCCATTGGAAATAAGTCTACAATCAATTGAGCATTATCTTGAAACTTAAATTTGTTAAGAATCATTCAATTTCAAGAAGATTGTGTCTATCTACATACAATCTTATATAAAGTTGTAATAATCTATTCACCCTTAAAATTAAAACTGCTGTAAATAAAATCCATAACTCTACTGTTTTTACCACAACTAAACAGTCAGCTGCAGGAATTGTGTTTTCATCATCTACACCTTTCTATTCTTTACACTACACTCATACTTCTCTTCTAAAAAAAAGTAAGTTTTTAAAAATTTTAATACCCCATTATATAACTTTACATTTTTTAATACTGAAACATGTTATATTTATGGCTCAGTCATTAAGAGTGTTAAAGTTCTCTTGAATATTACAAAAATTCATTAAAGAATAATGTTTTCTTTGAATTTTAACATAGTCAACAAATACTGAAATACTGCTTTCCAAAAGTTACTAAGATCCATGACAAGAACATTAAAGACTAAATGTCCCAAAGTAGAGCAATCCAAGGGATATCACTAGTCACATTCTCCAAATGTATCACCACTTTTCTTTCTGCCAATAAATAAATTTTCAATCTACTTATTAGGTTTTTTACTAAAAACATCAGCATAAACATAATTTATAGATGTTATTAATAAATCCCAATAGACAAACATAAAAAGCCTAAATTCTGACAAGATATCTTACTTCCGCTCACATATATAGCTATTCTTGTTCAGTGCTACCCTCTATTTTCAAAATTTTTTTGCATGCCACAAGCCTTTCACTCCCATGTACCACTCGATTCACATAGTTTAGCTGATTCTCGCATGCAAAATAACATGTGACAAACCTCCACCAGTAGGTGCTCCCCACACCCAGGTAACTCTCTCTATGCTATTCTACCTATTGCTTCTTGTTTAGCAGTTCTTGTGTTTGGACATTTTTTTCCATGCTCGCTCTGACTTTGGAATTTTTGTATCGATTATTTTTCAAGTTTCCTACTTATTTTACAGTTTATTCATTTGTTCCTAATTCCGTCGTGATATAATTTATTCTCTACCCAGTTATGGAACTTAGTCATTTCTTCCTTGCTTTTCTTTCTTTACCAACACAGTTGTGTTTGGTTTTAATTTTGCATCATGAATTCCGAAGTGAAATTACCATGTCAGAGGTTGTACCTTCTACCAACACAGTTACTCAGGCTTTAGGTGGGGGACTCAACTTTGGAATTATTGGCAATTGTTTGTCAAGAGATTGATTGTTATTTGAGCCAGCCTTCTTTTCCAGATGTTGCCCAACTTCCTTCAGAACAAGCTGAACCTGTTCAGGATGTTAAAGCATTTCCCAAGTTCCGAATATAGGTTCCACTTGGCCTAATATGGCTTTTTTTGGACATGATTTCTGAGTTATGTTCTATTTTATCCTTATCTCCAATTTCCTATAATCTTCTCCCTTCCTTCCTTCTTAGTATTTTGTGTTTCCACCATCTCTTGATATTGGAGTTCATGCTGAGAATTTTGTATCTCGGTTACATGAGGAAACTGGCATGTCTCGCCCTCTATGGGCTTTGGATCAGTTTGCTTTAACCTACCTACTATCAGACTGATTTTCCATTCTTTGATTCTCAGCAACTAGAATCCATTTTACCTGTTTTGTGGGTGTACCGTGATTGTCCTATTCATTTGTCTCAAGCCCAATTTTCTTGCCTTGATCTTACCCTCACGTCTACACTACAGTACTTGTACACCATACACCTCCTTTCTGAGGCAATCCACCAGAACCTGAGGGTTTTTCAGGTGATATATTTGCCTAATTACTTCCTTGTTGGCATTTTTGTTTACTTCAACTTTTTTTTTTTAACACATGTGATTCCTCTGTTGTCGGGATCTTTTGGGGAGAGACACAGTTTTGTCCCAAATTTGTTTGCTATCTTCTTATCTTAGGGACTTACACCTGGCTCCTTTTCTCAATAGGATAGTATTTGGAGATCTTCCAGTGATTTTGAAATCCTGAATGGTTTCTGTGAGACAGAAAATGACTTTTCTTGTTGGTTGATCGTTTATCTCACACGGCCTCGACCATCCCCTACCTGTTTCTTCCACTAGTGAATCTTCTTCTTATCATTATATTTGCCATCAAGTGTCATGACATCAACATTGTCAGTGGCTACCCTGTGGTTTCCAGTCTGGTGGGGTCTCATTTACCTAATTTTTTTTCTATCTATGGTGAGAATTCACCATAGATCTATGGGTCTTTCAGGTTTTATCCAAGGGGCTTGTCATCAACTTCCTCTCCCCTCCACTGTTGTCTCAGATCCCTGTTTTCTCTTTGTTGCCTTGAGACCCTTCCACATGTCAATGTCTGTTTGAGGCAGTACAAGATCTTCTCTATCAGAATGCCATCAAACGTATGGGACACCCTTCTCTGGGGTTTTATTCCAGGCTGTTTGTGGTTAACAAGAAAACTGGTGACTGGCATTCTGTAATCGATCTGTCATGTCTCAATCACTTCTTGGTATTACCTTGTTTTATCATGGAGTTATTTCTCACTCTCAAGTGGGCTTCTTATCCAGGTTTATGGATGATCAAGGTCAACTTCTTGAATGCTTATTCCTATATATTCCTATATCTCAGCAGTTGAAACACTACCTTCAGTTTGTTTATCACTGGGTGGTTTATCAATTTTGCTCTCTCCCTTTCAGGCTTGCTACAACACCATATGTCTTTTGTCGTGTGGTCAAGATTTTTACCAGACTTATGCACACTTGAGGGTTGCGCTTCCACCATTACATGGATGACTGGCTTCTTTTGGATTATTCCAAACTGGAGTTTGCCCAGCACACTCGTCTGCTTCTTTTGAATGCAGTTTGTGTCAGTTAGTTGATCAAGTTGGAGAAGTGCTTCCTTGCTCCTACCCAGTGTCTTATCCATATGGGTGTTTTGTTCAACTCTGGCCCAATCTTTCACTCCATTTGATGGAGCTGGCAGTCCTCAACACCCTTATTGCTCACAAGGTCCTATCTGTTTTGGGGATGTGGTTTTTTATGGTAGCACTTATCCCCATGGGTCATCCTCATATGAGATCCCTTCAATGGACTCTTCACGACCAATGGAACTTTGTGCGGTGCCAGTATTTAAATTTTTTTTTCAATTTGTCAAAATAAGAGACTTTTGCTTATACTTCTTAATAGTGTATGTATATATATATATATACTGTGTTGTTGCTGGGCTTAGAATTCTTCTAAAGCAGGTGTCTGTGACTTGTTGGCGATAAATTCAATGATAACATAACAGCACACATTTCACTTGTTTTTGAAAATAATACATATATTTAGAACAAGTTAAACATGTCTACAGCAAATTATTCGCACTATAGAAATTATAGGCATATAATAAATACTATATATATAGTTTTCTTCTTGTCAAAAGTCCGCTTAGACCTATTCAATTGCTTTAGAATTTCAGTTGAAAACCATACTATCTTCTCTATTACTATTGCACTAGTATTCTGTGTGTGATTCACTTACAGTAGTGGCACATATTACCATAATTGTTTGGTCTTCTTTTTCTAAGTATCCTCTGTTCCTTTTGTCAAAGTGCACCCAAGCTGATTCAGTTACTTTAGGTGGTTTAGTTACTTTAGAACCATGCTTTGATGGAATAAATTCTTCTTCTTATCTCCTTTTCTACTGTTAGTCTTACTGTAACATATTAAACATTAGTCATATCACTTCTATGGTACTTAACTTCATGCCAATCTTTTCCTTGCTCATAACTTTACTCTCTTCTGCTACTGTCTGTCTGCTGTTTCCACTCACACTATTTATATGTTTATCACTTAATCGTCTGTCTGCCTTCTAGAAATCTATATTCTTGATGTCAATGTATTACATGCGATGTTCGATAGTCTCAACATCAATGACTTATAAACACAACTTCCAACAGTTGTCTGCATTTAACTCTTATTATAACAAATCTAAATAGTAATAAAATATTCACTCACAAAAATAAATTAACCAATAATATATAAACTAAACAGCCTTTTATATTATGACTGTAACAAATTTGTTGTCATGTATTTATTTTTAATATGAACGTTATTTACACTAAGTTTATATTTAAAAATATGCGTAACTTATACTGTTAGATATTTATTGCGAAACTCCTGCCTATTCTTCAAAATTGTAGAAGATATTCAAGAGTAAGAATCAACAATATATCTATATACATAAATGCTTTAACCAGTATTGTTACATAAGACTGAATTTTCTAGAAAGTGTTCCCACTAACGTGACATGCCAGAAGAGTGTCTTTATTAGTTCGATATATATTGGTGTTCTATAAAACTTTGAAAGCTATAACTGTGATTGTTATAATGCTTATCAATTGGAAAACTTAAGATATCTGACCAGAAATATTTATAAATTTCGAATGTTACAAATCATTTAACTTCAGTGGATTTTCATCAGACATTAGTAATTTTATGAAGACGTATAAATTCATCGTGGAAAACCTAGTATGTGTGTGGCCAAGGACAAAGCTAGCTAGCCTACCAGCAGATTGTATCTGCATCAACTCGTAATTAACTCGCTCATCGTGAACCCTCGACAAGATATCAAGGAGGTTCCAGACTAGAAAAAAAACTTTATATTGTTTGTGAGTTTGTGAAAA